AAAAAAAAAAAAAAAAAAAAAAAAAAAAACTTGCACACCTATTCTGTTAATCTAATATCTTAACTTTTCCTTTAGTTTCCTTTAGTCCACGTACAAAAGAGCTACACTGGAAGAATGAACAGGTTCATTATATCATTATATATAATTTTGCAACCAAAAAATACTCAAAAAAAAATAATAATAAAAAAACCTGTCCAATAACTTCCTAAGTAAATTTACATAAAAGAAAAAGGCCAAAAAAAATTATTTAAAGTCTGTTGCCTTCAGTGGGTTTATTGGCAGGTTGCAAACTGATTCATATCAACTGATTCATATCAACTAATTTATACTGACTGATTCATATCACCTGATTCATATCAACTAATTTATACTGACTGATTCATATCACCTGATTTATATCAACTAATTTATATTGACTGATTCATATTGACAGATTCGTATCGACTGATCCATATCAGCTGCTGCATATTAACTGCTTCATACGAACTGATTCACATCAACTGACTGAGTCATCAACTGATTCACATCAACTGAGTCATATCAACTTATTCATATACACTGATTTATATCAACTGATTCATATCAAGTGTTTTATATCAATTGATTCATATCAAGTGTTTTATATCGACTAATTCATATCAACTGCTGCATATTAACTGCTTCATACGAACTGATTCACATCAACTGACTGATATCAACGGAGTCATATCAACTGATTCATATGAATTGAATTATATCAGTTGATTCATATCAACTTGTCTGTCATCAACAGATTCATATCAATCGATGAGTATCCCAGAGAGCAGATTATTTAAGTGAATATAAACAGATCGGATGAAAATCCTATGCTTTTACAGTTATCAGTTCATGTGAATGTTTTTGTATTTTCTTACATTTAGTGAAAATGTGTGTCATATAGATATCTTCATACTGTCTGAACATTTAAAACATGTGTGTGTATGTGTGTATAATATAATATAATATAATATAATATAATGGAACCCACCGGTCTCTCTGTATGTGTGTGTGAACTCTCAGTAGCAGGCCGCTCTTTGCGGCGGGGTGTGGAGGTCCAGGTCGTCTCTTCTCTCTCTGTTCCTCACGGTGTCTCTTTGAACGAGGAGGACAGCGTGTGGAGTGGAAGAGCAGGAAACAGGTGCTGCTCAGCTCAAGCTGCTCTCCCTGTTTGATATCCTTTATAAGAAGCAGACGGAGCGGCGGGGCGTAGCCACAAACAGATGCTCCGAAAGAGCGGAAAGACGGCTTCATCTCAGCACCACCTTGCTCTCCAGGCAGAGACGGAGAACATACAAGAAATTCAATTAAAGAGTGTCGAAAAGGTCAGAGGATTATTGACTAAACGTACATGGAAGAGCTGATGGACAGGTGTTACTTTTTTAAGAGATGACAGTTTTACCAAAAAAACAAAAAAAAAAAAACAGGATTTTGATAATGGATGAAGTCAAAATAGTTCTTTATAGGAGACTACGTAGCATTTACATCCACTCACACATCATAAACCAGCGGCAGTCAGGCAGCCTCACACGACTCGCCTGCAGTTTTACTGTCTTCAACTTTACTAGCTCAGCTAATTACAGCAATAAATTAGCATACGATTTGAAGCAGGTGTGTTAAAGCAGGAAACAGTGCCGTTCATTATAATAGCACGGCAATGTTAAACAATATTTATGGCAATAGTCTATAAAGTTTATATATAAAATATGTTTTTTCCCCCAATTTTCTCCCCAATTTAGTCACAGGTATGTAACTGCAACGTGTGTGATGCTTTGAACTGTTTGAATGGCAGCTTCACATAACGGATCATGCAGATGTGTTTTTTACGATTATGTAAAAAAAAAAAAGGACAGAGAATGCACACAACCATTTTCATAAACCAGTATGAGCCGAATCGTGCATTTTGTAGTGTTAAAACTTGGCTTTCAAGCAGCTGACATGCCTATCCTGTTGCTTAAAATGCTAGCGATGCTAACATACTGATAATACTGAAGCGTTAAGGCTCATGAGACCTCATTACAAAGAAAAACAGGACTATTTTCATAAATCAGTGTTTAGAGTGTTATAGCAGTTGAAAGTGCACATTGTTGCTAATGCAAATGCTAATAAATTAGCATGCTAATTTTAGCTGAACTCTATGAGACAGGTTCTGGGGGCGGAGCTTTGTGTACATGTGTACTTTGTGTACCCATCTACTTAGCCGAGGATCTAATCTTGAAATATTTTCACAAATCTTGCTCCTTTAACTACTAAAGCTGTCGTTCCAAAGCCTCTGGAAAGCTCTCTCTCTGGAAAGATCACACTTGGACCTTACATACGTCTTTTTTTTTTTTTTCTTTACAGTGGTGACTGATTGATAACGGTGACGCCTTCTTTGCACCTTCTTCTCACAGTAGCATAGACACCCAGTATGCTGCGTCAACGTAACACACCCAAGCACACATCTGGAAAGAGATCCACGTTCTGCACAAGGACGTCTTTCTCACACAGGCGCCGCCCCGAAGGCGCGTACGTAGACCCAGTAAAAATAAATTGCCTCTGACGATGTGTTAATCCACTCTGACAAAGCGTCTCGGGTCCGAATTATGTTGTCATTTTTTATTGCCCAACTGACACCTGTTTATAATACAGAG